ACATATCAAGCTTTAGATCTGGCATTTGAATCCTGGTCTGTCCCATTCCAAAACTAGAATTTCTACTAGAAAAAAATAATAATTACAAGTGATGTTTCTGGAGGGCTCATTCATGTGCTCTGCTGAGCACTTCAGAGATACCATTTCACATAATCCTTGCAGGGTTCCTATTTTGCAGACAAAGAAATTGAAACCGAAAAAGATAAATACTTTTCTATGAGTGACAGAAATCTTAAGTCAGGGTCATTCCCAAAGCCTGTACTCTTAACCTCTAGGCAAGCTGTCACTTAAAAATGGACCCTAAACAGAAAAGACTGAGCGCTCACATTTTATTCAGGGCAGGTGTGGCACTGTTTGGGTTGAGGGCTGAGAGGAGGGAGTCTGTGGAGGAAACAAGCACTGAGTTGTCTCCCTTCCTGCCCTGGGCTCACCCTTTTGGAGTTAGTACTTAGCACAGTATCACCTACACCTTTGTTTATGTATAAGTCTGCCCATGACTGGAACAAAGCTCCATAAGGGCAGGGACTGAATCAGTTAGTACCTGGCTGAGAGTTAACAAGTGTTTACAGATGAGGAAATGAGGCCCTAATGATCTCAGTGGTCTCTAAACCCAGAACTCTTAGTTGTCAATGGTGATAGACATGGCACCTCATGTAAGTTTGGAGAGATTGCTACTTTGACATCCAAGGAACTCCTAAGGTCACCGCACAAACTTCTGTCTTCTTTTTTCTCTCCATTAGTTAGTTTTGCCCCTGCTCTGTGATTATAGAGGCTGAGGGAGTGGGAAAAAGCAAGCTTACACCACAAAGGAACACAGTTGTGCCTGTTGTCTCATGGTATGATTTTGTAGGTGTCAAAACTGAGGTCCAAGTATACGGCCATGCCGCCCCAAACAAGCCTGATCCCGTTTGATCTCAGAAGCTAAGCAGGGTCAGGCCTGGTTAGTACTTGGATGGGAGACCACCTAGGAAGACCAGGCCCTGTAGGCATAAAAAATAAAAAAAAATATGGGATTGTAAGCTGACAAGGTCCTTGCAATCTGTGAGATCAACCAAGGGTTGCCTTGCCTAAAAAACAAATAAACAAACAAACAAAAACCAAGGTCCAAGAAGGGCAATGCTGCAGACTTAGAACTAAGTCCCACTGGAAGGATTCGATTCTCGTACAATAAGACTGAAAAGTTTTGCCCTTCGAGATGTAGACCCTCCCTGGTTTTATTCCTGTAAAAGTGAGTGCTGTGAGTTCACAGTTCCACCAGAGGCAGTTAGCCATCAGGATCACATTTGAGGGAAGGAGGAGCTGGGTGGGTGAGATCATATGGGCCAGTATAGTCTTCACATCCCTGATGATGTAGGTGATGAATTTAGATGATAACATTTTTATGGTTACTTTCCATATATAATAACAGGGGATATGGCTTTCCACATATAATAACAATGTAAAATTAGTTTTCAAAAACATATATAAGTAAATGCAAGGAGTCAATTTAAAGTATGAAATAATGTGATTTGACTTTAGAGAAACAATGACTTAAGGTCACTGTTCTAAAAAGACATCTCCTCAACAAGCCTCTGGCAAATCATGGACTTGGGGCAAGGCATTGCCCTTCTAGGAAAACCCTGTTTGAGTGGTAGACATCTTAGAGACCACCAGGCCAATCCTTCATGTCACAGATGAGGAAATTGAAGCCAGAGCTGAGGTCATAGACGGAGAGTCAGCATACACCTTCTCAGAAGGCCTTGTTCTAAATCACTTTTCCTCTCAGAACCATGGGGTTCAAGGCTGGGCCAGTCACCCAGATCCCCATCCCCACCTGTGATGTGGAGAAGCACTCACTGGGTGAGGTTTTAAGAACAGTGGTCTTCAAAATTACCTAAGAAGCTTTGAAAAAATATAGATGGCCTGGCCCCCATCCCCAGAGAGTCTGATTGGGTCATTTGATTTGGGGACAGGATTCAGGGAAATTTCTTTAAAAATCTCCTCCTAGCTGCCCACCCTAGACTGGAGACCAAAGAGCCAACATGAGATGCTTCAGTTGAACACTCCTTGGGTTACCCCATCCCTCTTCAGGATTATCTAGGCTCCCCCAATACCTAATCCAAGAAGAGAGAGAAAGCAGCAGAGACAGAGAGACAGAGACAAAGAGACAGGGAGAGACAGGAAGAAAGAGACAGAAGGAGGAGGAGAGGCGAGAAGAGAGAGTGAGAGTGAGCAAGCACTCATGGGAGGCAGATCTGGCTTGGATTTCTGGCTATACCACAAACATTTACAAAATGGGTTACCCAGAGCACCATTCTTAACTTTGAGATTCAATGGCCTGTAGATAAAATGATGATAATATTAACCGGTACCTCAATAAATTGTAGTGAGGGTTAAATGAAATAATCCATGTATAGGGCTTAGCACAGCATCTGGCACATGTTGAGTCTCAATAAATGCAAATCCTGGGCACCATCATCTTTATCGTTAAAACCAACAGCCAGAATGATCCTGTTGTTAAGAGAAGCCAGGCACTCAGTTGTAACATTCCTCAAGGAAGAGAAGAAGTTCATTAAATGGCTTGGAATTAACATGGTGGGAGAGTGGAACTTAATTCCTTGTATCCCCGGGGGGAAGGAGTGTCTTTTGGAAGAGATTTGCATTGGCTTTAGTTGATTGCAATTATGCTGTCCTTCTCCATGCTGAAAATAAAATGAAACCTAACGAAGTTCCAGGTTTAATTGACATTTCCTGGGATCTGTTATTATATCGCTGTGATTGTTCTGTGCCACTAATGAGCCTGTGCTAGTTGATTATCTAAGTGTCTCTCCCATCACTATTCCATTATTAATGATCAGGTATGATTGTCATAGCCAACAGCTTGAACATGAAACAGGCAGGGACAACTCTGAGAACCTAACAGATGGACAAATGGCCAGGGTGGGGTGGAGTTGGCCCAGTGGGCAGGGTGTGCTGGCTGACAACCTGGTTTTCAGAGTAGGTAAGGGAAGGGGTATAGATGTTAATGTGATATGGAACAATACTGAGGAGTGGGTATCGTGCTGGAGGATGTAGTGGGCCAGGTGTAGTGACAACTGAGAGGTCAGAACCTAAGAATCTAATGAGGGGAACTGTTCCCTATAAGTTGGTGGGTTCTGAGTCAAGAACTCTTAATTCTCCTCCTACCTTGAGTAATAGCCAATGACTCCTGAGAAACATAAAGAAACAAAAACTAACATTTCTAAATTAATGAAGTCTTATGAGCCTGGGAAATGGGAAAGGACCGAAGTAAAGGGCAAGGTGAGGAGAAGACCATGCAGGCCTGGGGGTTCATTTTGAGGAGGTAGTGAGCACCTCTCTCCTTCTCTGATTAGCTGAGATCCCCAGAGCAGGGGCTTGCTTACATTGCAGTAAGGGGAGTTGGTGAGCCCAGGAGAAGGCAGCCATTTGTCCTGGACATAGTGGGAAACATGTGTGCAGACCGGGGCTGGGTAGGGTGGCCTCAACAGAGCCTTCCTAGCCCAGTCTTTAACCACTCGCCTTCTCTTACCTCAGAAGGACAGGAAAGAAACCTATATGCTGGTGCTATGAGAGAAAATTGGAAAAGTTTCCTGGAAACTGCTAGTATTGACTCATATTGGTCTTCCTTACCAATGGTAATGAGCTGGGCCCCTGGGTCTGATGGGGAAGAGCTGCTTCACCCCCTGCATCGCCACTATGGGCAGGCTCCCACTTGTATCTAGAGAGCCTACGTGTATCCAGCCTCTTCCCCAATTCCCCTGCCTTTCAGGAGGTGTCCTTTCTCAAGAACGCCAGACATGATGAGGTCATGTTAGGCGCTCAATTGCTGCCAAAAATCATTCTTCAAAGATTAGCGTCGTGCTAATATAAAGTGTAAGCCAGTCACAGGAGAGGGGAGAGGGGTAAACTGATGAAATGGAGGGGGAAAACTCAGAACCAGAAGAGAAGGAATTGACATTTTGAACATGGTTTTATAATGGAAGAATTGATCCCAAGGCCGCCTCCTCTGCCAGTTATAGGCATAGGGGCTGCTGAGGTTTCCCAAAGCCTGTGGTGGGGGCCACCTGTTCTGTTACCCTTGCTGCCTCCATCTCGCTGTCTTCATGGCAAATAAGCAAATGGTGGAGTGGGGGCACTCCTGCAGCCGTGGTTTCCCAGGCAACACTCAGGTGGCAGCCCACCCAAGACTGCGAACACTGGTTTGTCCGGCCACCATCGCTGTGCTGCGAGGCTATTTCAGAGCAATGGAGGCTTCTGCCCACATAGCCACCCATAGTCCTATCAACATGCACACAGTTGCTCCTCTGTTCACTGCTGCTTCTGCATGTGGGCTCCTGGCTGCCTGTCCATCCATAGCATCCACCCTCAACTGTCCACCATACAAGAGACTGGGCTGACCAGCCAATCTTGAGGAGAGCATGCAGAAGGCAGAGACCCTTGGCATAGGCAGCCTGAAGACTTCTCCTCCTATTTTCAGGGAGGACTGAAGAAATCTGAGGCCAGAGCTCTAACTAGGAAGATGCCCTTCCCCTGCTCTGTTCCCCTCAAGACCCTGGGCTAGTCAGTTATAAGAATTATGATGAACACAATCATAATAATCCTGTTTTGCATATCTTTTGTCTTCCTTAAGTAAATAAAACAGTCATTATTATTATCTCCAACTTATAGAAGTGAAAGCTGAGCCCCACAGAGGTTAAGTGACCTACTCAAAGCCACTTGGTTTAGAAATGTCAGGCCCAAACCCAGTATGCCATAAAAATGTATGGTCTAAGGATCTCATGATCTCCAAAGACTGAGCTGAGTTGATCCGAGTGAAGAGATGAAGTCTAAGAAACCAGATGGGGTATCCTGGCCTATGCTGAACACAACTACAGAAGGTAGTTGTGAAAAGCAGAGACACTGGAATAAGGAAGGGGAGGCACTCAAGGCATTTGTCTCAGCAAGCTTGGAGCTGAGGACTAGGACATGGAGGCTGACTTGGCTTCTTTTCTCACTCTTAGGCAGGTTTCCTCGGCTGCCTCCCAGACAAGCAGAGAAGAGACAGGTCTGTGGCTTTCCCCGGCATCTACTGGAGTTTCCTGGAGAGGTGCAGATTCCAACCCTATCGACACGCTAGAACCAAGCATTGGCTCCAGAGCAGTAACCCTGCAGCCAGCACAGGTGGTTTCCAGCAAGGCCAACCCTCTTGCCCCCTACATCAGAGATGGACCACTCAGGACCTCCCCACACCTTTCCTGGGAGAGAAGCAGCTGTGTTGTAATTAAAATTCTCCCAGGAAGGAAATTTCATTCTGGCAGCTGAATGAAATTTTCCACATCTCACAATCTTTGTCAGGAAATTTAGATTGCACAGATTTTCTGGAGTCTGTTCCATGCCAGTCACATTTACCTTTACGTTGTCTCAGGTGATCCTTATCACAGCCCTGCAGGGTTGGGAGGGCAGGACTATACCAATTTTAGAAACTAGGAATCTGAGGCTCAGGTGCTTTGGGTGAGTCAGTTCCCCACAGGTAGTAGCTCCTAAGGGTCAGAGCTGGGATTTAAACCCTTTGATCTCAAGTCCTGCATCCTGTCTACCTGGTAATTGGCCACAGCTCCATCAATAGTGCAGTCACTTTCCTCTGTGGATGAAGCAAACAGTTCTGCAGCACTTGCCTGACAAACTCTGCAGCCACTTCCCTGAGCCAGGGACTAGCCAGAAATCCAATGGGGGAGGCCTGGTGTCACTCTGCCCATGCCCCTCCAACCTGCCACAGGCCCGCCCCTTAGAGTAGAAGATCTGGAAGATTCCTCAGTCCTTGTCATCCTGTCTGTCTCTACTCCTTCTGCTTTGGTCTTGAAATGTTGAGTTGATTATATTTTGTGCTCAATCACGAGAAATAATCAATTCATAATTAAGAGCATCTCCCAGCTCTTTCCAAGCTTTCCTCAGCACCCCTCTCCAAGAGTTTAGCCACTCCATTTCCTCCTACCACTACCCTCTTGCCTTTCCCTCCCACCTGCCTTTCGAGAATGGAATTGTTTTAATGAGATGTCTCTGTTACAAATGACCGGTTTGTAGTAATTATATTTAGTGTGGCAATTGTGGTTTAAAAATGATTTAAAGAGGTGAAGGCTCCAATTTATTAGGTGTCAAATTTCCTGTGAACTTTTACCTGGAAGCCGCTGCTTAGACACGGAGAGGGCCATCTCTGCCACCCTGGGCTGAGCAGTAGTCCTGAATTATTGATGGTTTGTGGATGTAGTTGAGAGATTTAACTTTTATTAAAATAAACGAATCTTGCAACAACAGTTTGGCTTCCAGGGTGTCCCACCTGCTGTAGCAGAGAAGAGCAAGAAGGGTCACCACCCAGAAAGAGGTTCTGGAAGAAGAGTGTGAACTTCAGGACTCATTGCCTGAAGCGATTCCATGCAGGATTTTGTTTTCTGAGGAAAGTCAACATCGTGCGTACCTGTCCATCCCTTTTTAATTCCATAAAGAGCCTTGTTGAAAGCTAGTGGTGGGTAGTGTTCAGGACTTCCGACTCTGGACTTAACCTGGTTTCAAATCCGGGGCGTGTTCCTTTCTGCCTGTGTGATTTTGGGAAATTAGTTGGTCAATAGGGAGGACAAAAACACTGCAAAGTCTGCCTGGGCCTCAGGAACCCACACATTTCCCCCAGCTAGAAACTCGTCTGGGGAAGCAAGTTCCAGAATTAGGGAAGCAGAATTTTCCCTGCTTCAATTCTGATAAGAAGTAGCCCCAAGGGAGCTGGTAGATAGCTATCTAGGCTAGCCAAACATGTTCTGCAGGGTGGTCCAGTTGGGCCTGTCACTTCTGACTTTCTGAGAAATTGCCATGAAGTGTAGGATATGACACCAAGAAACAGGAAACTAAAGTTTTTCAGAAACCCCTCCTAGAGGGAGAATTTTCCCCAGAGGTTATTGTGCTTATTATAACAAGCACATTATAATGTGCTTATTATAATACTCATAACATCTTATAGTCGAGCTTGCATTTGAATACTTAAAAAAACCAACACAGTGTAGAGCAGGTAGCTGGGGATCTCGTTAAAATGTAAATTCTGTTTCATAGATCTGCCAAGGTGCCTTAGATTCTGCATTTCTTACGTGCTCCCAGGTATTGAATCTACAGGTCTAGGACAGCGTAGCTTCACTATTTACTGTCTGCAAGACCTGGAGCATATTATTTAACATCTCCAAGGCTCATTTCCTCATTTGTAAAATGGAGAGCTACCTCAAGGACTGCCGAGAGGATGAATGAGATAAAGTGTGTAAAGTGCTCAGTAAGTGGGGGAAGGCTCGTGGTCAGGTACCTGACAGGAGTCGCTGTTGAATACATATGTCTTCTCTCCCCTCATTCAAAGTGATTTTATACTCTATTTCATTTGAGCCCATGAAGCAAGTGCAGCAGATACTGTTCATCCCACTTCACAGATGAGGAATCATTAACTCAGTGAGTTAGTGGCATAGGTGGACTAGAACCTGTTTTAGTGTTCTTCCCACCACAACACAGTCCTTCCCAGCCAGATTAGAGATTTATGTGTCCACCAGATGAGTAGCAAGTTGATATTGATAGTGAAAATCCTAACAATGCTGCAGAAATCTGTGCAGGGCTCTCACTGGGCAGGCAGCCACTGCTGGTAAAGAGGGCCTCTGGAGTCCTGGGAGAGAGCTTGGAATTGGAAGACAGTGTTTCCATTACTTGGCTCCCTCTCTGGGCCTACCTGCACACCGATCTCAACAAGCATTTCAGGAAAGAATAAATGCTCGAACCATCATCCCCCATGTGCAAGAAAGCAAGTAAATCAGAAATAAAAGGTAATGCTCTTGATGTTTCCTTGGTGAGCCAGGGGTCTTCTCTCCCTGATCCCAGTTCTCAGAAGGATCTACATAGGCAGGGTTCAAAGAAGAGAGCAGGAGGGGCCCCTGGCCAGGCCCCGCATCTGGCTGCCACAAATCTGAGGGAGTTGGAACAGTTCAGCACATTCTTCCCTTACTCCCCACCCCACCCCACCACATGTGGGCTACAGCCTCTTAACTGCCCTGCTCCCCTGCTCTGGACCAGGCCCAGGAAAAGTAATTGGGTTTCCTGGAGCCTCTTATACATCATTTCATTTATCCTCCCAAGGCATTCCTATTGCAGAGTTGTTGAGCTCATTGGTGAAAAAGACCAACAGAGATCCAGAAGACGACAGAGGGCACATTAGATTCTAGTCCAAGGATATGGTTATGTGGACTGCCTGATGTTCTTAGGTTCAGCCCTGTTCAATTTGAGGCCTCCTATTCTCACTGGGTTACTTGTCATAAGGGCATTCCAGACAGCATTCCTGGATTTAATACTTCTATTATAGCCATTTGTGAGTGTTCCCAATGGCCCTTCACATGTAGCCTTTAGTCATTCTGCTAAGTCAGGAAAATGAATCTCATGTGCTGTGAGGCTGATGGGCAGCCATTAGCTCCTCAGTAGTAGGGAGGCAAGTTGAGGCCCTGTCTTGCTTCCCAGTCTAGTGAATTTTCACAGCTTTCTTGAGAGGTTAATACTGTCCTTGTTTTACAGATGAGGAAATGAGACCACTGTATGGCATTGTGCAATTGGAAATTTGGAGATTCGAGAGGCTGTAGGGTTTATATTCCTCAAGAATGTCCAGAGTCTCCTGTACCTTACTTATAGGGAATTCCCAAGATTTGTGGGAAATGAAGAAAAAGTGAAGACTAGATTTGTCATACAGTCCATGACTGTATGTCAGGAAATGCAGAAGCCATGTGTCCAGCCAGACCTAGGGACTCTTTTTATGGACTTCTAGTGGACTATTCAAAACATCTTTGATATAACGATTTTACCACTTTCACAGAAGGCTGTTAATTAAATTAATTAACCTTGTTAAATGGGCTTTTGGAGGGTTCCTAGGGCAATGCAAAGATCTAGACAAGATGCAGGAGGGAGCAGCTAACTTCCAGAAAATTGCAATACCCCAATATGCTCTCTCCAGCAATTAAGGTGCTTACTAACTGCTTGAACATCTTTACTTGCCTCCCTGGAAAGAATGTCATAGCCAATGAGTGCCTTTTGCAACTGTCCTTGACCTGTAAGGGCAGGGCATGCCTGTATGTTTTATGTATGCCTGTGTATAAGAATGAGCATGGCTAATATGTTCCCTGTGTGTATAGACATTTCTGCGTGTGTGTAGACTGCATCACATGTGAACCTGTGACCATTGGAAGTCATGCACCACCCGGGCCCATACTCAAAGAACATACAGCTGTCTCCTTCACCCTTGGTCTGTCTTATCTCTGCAGCCTGCTATTTTGGTGAGTTGACAAATGCAGACATCAACTCCACAGCATCTCCTCTATGGGGAGGCCAGGACAGGCAGGTAATTTATCAAACATTACTTAAAATAGTTCTCCAACCTCTTGCTCCCTCTTTTGTTACTCTCTGATTCTTGATTTGTTCTTCTTTCTGTTTCTTGTTTTTCTGCCTGAAGATTGACAGCCCCCTGCTAATACAGCCTCAGAGACACCAGGTGCTAGTGGAACTGACACCGCACTGCCTCAGCCTCCATCCCAGAACTAACTGCTTTGCAGCTGACTTGGGCGTCACTGTGGTTGCTTCTGTCTGCATGGTAATGCAGCAGACTGATGGATGAGGCTGTATCCCCTGCAAGGCAATGTTCAGGAAGCAGGGATACATACATTATGATCTACTGAGTTATGGACTAGCTAATGAGACTCCTCCTGTCAGAGAGCCCTCAACTGCCCTAATTTTGCCCGGTTCCCAATTCTCTAAACTGAAACTGGCCATGTCTTGTGATGCTGTGTACTGGTCTTCTGTCCTCTCAAGGAGTTTAAAGAGAATGAAACTTCATTGTCTTATTTAATTCCGTACAATAGATATTTTCTCCATTTAAAGATAACTGAGAACAAGAGGAAACTGAGACTCACAGGAGTCAAGCAGCCCATCATCGATCATTTTCTCAGTTAAAGTTCGTAACTGCCCACAACAAAAACTGACTCCAGCTAACTTCAACAGAAAAATTTGGGGAAAGATATCGAGAGCACACATGATATATGGGAAGCTTAGAACACATGCATAGACCAAGATGGCAGAATGAGGGCAAGACTACACCAGGAAGAGTCTGCTGAGAGACCGCACTAGACACTGAATCTCATTTTGGCCACTGCGAAAATGCATTTTAAACTCTTCCTTTACCTTTTTGTCTTTATCTTAAAATCTAAATTCCCAAGTGATATCATCTGAGGGTTCATAGGCCATGTGCCTACAATCTTGCTGCCAGGGGGCAGGGCACCTCTAGTGGATCCTGATTCCTACCAAGAATCACTTGATGGGTTCCCAAATACAAAAAGGGGGTTCCACAACTAAGTGGCCAACACCCAGTGAACTAGCAAACCAGACTAATGTTCTCAGTCATCACACAACTGGTGAGAGGCCAAGCAAGTACAAAGCCAGGTCTTCCTAGCTCCAAATTGTGTGCTCTTTCTGCACAACAAGGGCTGAAGTTCAAAATATTTAACTGGTAGGGCAGTGACTCTGGCCAATCAGAATAGATGCCACCAGAAATAGAGGGTTTGGCATGGCAATGCCCATATAAAAACAAAATTACACACACATATAAACAAAATTTTACACACATATAAAACAAAATTAGAACTCAGGGCTCCTGGCTGCCTAGGTCAGAGGCCCTTGCTGTTAGGACCAACCTTCTAAAACTTTTCCATAAAAAGTGATAATATTTGATGGCACACTAGAGTAAATTTGAGAGAAAGAAGAGAAAGAGAAAGAAGGAGAGAAAGAGAAAAAGGTATATTGTTGCAGAGGGGAAGCCCGTTGTATTTTCTTTATATTACATCATTATGATTAAAAGAAAATAAAATCTCCTTGAATTCCAGGCTTTTAATCCAAATGCCTACTTGATATCTCCACCTTGATGTATAATAGCTCAAAAATAGCATGTCTATATCTGAACACCTGGTCTCTATAGTCACCACCAACTTGCTCTTCCTGAAGTCTCTCCCAACACAGTTAATGTCTTCTTATCCTTCTAGTTGCTCAGGTCAAAATTTTTGGACTTATATTTTACTCTTTCTTCCATATTCTATATCCTCTTCATAATCTATGTATGTGTCATGTAATATGTATATACATATTCTACATCAGACAATGCTCTGGCCTCTAACTTTAGAATACATTTGTAAACTGACCATCCTGACTGCT